CCTCTCTCCTGATTCTCCATGTATTCTGTGTTCTCTCCTCTCTCTCCTGATTTTCTGTTTTGTGCATTCTCTCTTCTCTTATGATTCTCTCCGTTTTCTGTGTTCTCTTCTCTCTCTCTCCTGATCCTCTCAATTTTCTGCATGCTCTTCTCTCTCTCTGATTCTCTCCATTGCCAGCATTACCTTCTCAATGCCGATTCTTTCCATTTTCTTTCTCTTCTATCTCTCCTGATTCTTTCTGTTTTCAACCGTATCCTCTCTAGTGATTATCTCTGTTATCTGCTGTATCTTCCCTCCCTTTTCTGCATTCTCTTCTCTTTCACTTAATTCTCTCTGTTTTCTGGTTTCTCTTCCTTATCTTTTGATTCTCTCCGTTTTCTGCCTTCTCTTCTCTCTGTCCTGATTCTCTACTTTTTCTGCGTCATTTCTCTATCTTCATCCTGATTCTCTACTTTTTCTGCGTCATTTCTCTATCTTCAGATTCTCTTCGTTTTCTGGGATAACTTCTCTCTCCTAATTCTATCTGTTTTTTGTGTTCTCTTTTCTCTCACTATAGTCTCTCCATTTTCTTCTTCTCTTCTCACTCTCCTGAATCTGTTCATTTTCTGCCTTTTCTTCTCTCTGTCCTGATTCTCTATGTTTTCTGGGTTCACTTCCCTGTCTTCGGATTCTCTCCATTTTCTGTGATAATTTCTCTCTCTCCTAATTCTCTGTTTTTCCGCGTTCTCTTTTCTCTCACCATATTCTTTCCATTATTATCTGCTTCTCTTCTCTGTCTTCTGATTCTGTTTATCTCCTGCATTCTCTTCCCTCACTCCCAATTCTCTCACTTTTCTGCGTTCTCTTCTCTCTCTCTCTCCTGAATCTCTACATTTTCTGCATTCTCTTCCCTCTCTCCTGGTTCTCTCCCTTTTCTGCATTCTCTTCTCTCTCTCCTGATTCTATCCGTTTTCTGCATTCTCTTCTCTCTCTCCTGTGTCTCTCTGTATTGTGTGTTATCTCCACTCTTTCCTGATTGTCTCCATTTTCTGTGTTCTCTTCTCTCCCTTGTGATTCTCTGTTTTCTGTGTTCTCCTCTTTCTCCTGGTTCTCTCCGTTTTTTGTGTTCTCTTTTCTTTCTCGTGATTCTCACCATTTTCTGGGTTCTCTTCCATTGCTCCAGCTTATCTCCGTGTTCTGGGTTCTCTTCTCTTTCTCCACATTCTCTCCTTTTCCTGCGTTCTCCTCTGTGTATCCTGATTCCCTCCAATGTTTGCGTTCTCGGCTCTCTCTCCTAATTCTCTCCGTTTTCTGCATTCTCTGCTCTCTCTCCGGATACTCTCCTTTTCTTCCTTCTCTACCCTCTCTCCTGATTCTGTTTTCTGTGTTCTCTTTTCTCTCCTGATTCCCTCTGTTTTCTGCGTTCTCTTCTCTCTCCTGATGCTCTCGGTTTTCTATGTCCTCTTCCCCCTCCCTTAATTCTCTCAATTTTTTGTGTTCTCTTTCCTCTCTCCTTATTTTCCCTTTTTCTGCGTTCTCTTCTCAGTCTCATGATTTTCTATGTATTCTGCGTTCTCTTCACTCTCCCGACTGTCTCTGTATTCTCTGTTTTCTTAACTCTTGACTGTCTCCATTTTCTATTATCTCTTCCCTCTCTCTTTATTGTTTTCTGCATTTTCTTTTATCTCTCCTCATTCTCTCTGTTTTCTGCCTTCTCTTGTCTCTCTATTATCTCCATTGTCTGCATTCTCTTCTCCCTCCAGTGATTCACCCCATTTTCTGTGTTCTCCTCTCTCCTGATTCTCTCCATTTTCTGTGTTCCTATCTCTATCTTGTTATTCTCTCTGTTTTCCACATTCTCTTCTCTCTCCTGATTCTCTCCCTTTTCTGCATTCTCTTCTCTCCTCATTCTCTCTATTTTCTGAGTTCTCTTCACTCTCTCCATAACATCACTCCAGGAAAAGAACTATACAAAATGGAGATCAGCAATCAATCAGATGCATAATTCAAAACACTGCTTATAAGAATGCTCAATTAACTTTGTAAGAATTTCACAGTACCTCGTGAGAATGTAAAAAAAAATTTAGTGAGGACCTCAAGAGCATAGTAAAGAACCAGTCATAAATAAAGTATGTACTAACTAATGAAGAATAATTTACATGGAATCAATAGTAGACTAGGTGAAGCCAAGTAGTAAACCATTGATTTTGATTATAAGGAAGCAAAAAAACAGTAAATTAGAACAGCTAAAAGAAAAAAGTATCTAAAAAATGAGGATACTATAAGGAGCCTGTGGAACAACTTCAAGCATGCCAACATTTGCATCATGGGAGTGTCAGAAGGAAAAGAAAGAGGGCAGAAAATTAAAAACTTATTTGAAAAAATAATGACAGAGAACTTTCCTAACTTTGTAAAGGAAACAGACATACAAGTGTTGGAAGCACAGAGAGTCCCAAACAAGATGATCCCAAACAGAACAGAAACAATCTCAGATTAGAGAACTTTTTGTGTTTGCCAGATAGGAGGTGGATTTGGTGAAAAAAGATGAAGGGATTAATAAGTACAAATTGGTTGTTAGACTGATGAACCTCAAAGGGGAGGGGAGAGGTGGGGCAGGAAGAAAGAAACCAAAAACTGATATGCATATGTGCATAACCAGTAGACACAGACAATAGTGTGGAGAAAGCAGGAAGGTGGTGGGAGTGGGGGGGGGGGGTTCAAGAAGTGAATAAAAAAAGACATCTGTAATACATTCAACAATAAAGATGTTTAAAAAATAAATTAATAAAAAACAAGTTTCAACAAAATACCAAGGGTTAAAATTATATCAAGTATGGTTCTTGTTATCATTGCAATTAACCTATAAACCATGAATAAAAATTAACCACATGTGCCCTGGCTGGTTTGCCTTGGCAGTTAGAGTGTCAGCCCTTGGACAGAAGAGTTGCGGGTTCAATTCCAGTCAAGGGCATGTACCTGGGTTGCAGTTTGGTCCCTGGCCCTGGTCGGGATCATGCAGAAGGAAGCCAATCGATCGATTTCTCTCTCTCACATCAATGTTTCTCTCTGTCTCTCTCTCCTACTTGCTCTCTCTCTACCTCCTACTCTTCCAAGATGAATGTAGAAATGTCCTCAGGTGAGGATTTAAAAAGAAAACAAAAGTTTTAAAAAGTAGCTAGATGGAATACTATGTAGCTATAAGAAAGAAAGATCTCTTACCCTTTATGATGACATGGAGGGACCTGGAGAGTATTATCCTAAGCAAAACAAGCCAAACAGAGAGGCAAATGTCACATGATCTCACTTATTTGTGGAATATAATAAAACAAGCTGATGAACAAAATAGACTCAGAGACACAGAAGTAGGATACAGACTGACAAACCTCAGAAGAGGGGATGGGGGGAAGGAAGAGATAAACCACAAAACTTATATGCATGTAAGTGTAACCACAGACATAGACAACAATGCTGGAGACTGGGCAGGGGGTAGGGGGAATAAGGAGGAGGGTGTCAATGCGGGGGAAAAATCTGTAACAAAAATAAACAATTAAAAAAATTTTAAAATAACTAGAAACTCCTTAGAGTTATTTTTATTATTATTATATTTAATCCTCTCCCAAGAATATTTTTCCATTTATCTTCAGATAGAGCAGGAGGTAGAGAGGGAGAGAAAGAAAAACATCAACATGACAGATACATCAACTGATTGCCACCCACACAACCCAAACCAGAGTCAGGAACAAACTGCAACCGAGGTACCTGTCCTTGGCTGGAATTGAACCCAGGACTCCTTGGACTGTGGGCCAACGCTCCAACCGCTGATCCAAATCAATCAGGGTGAAACTCCTTATATTTAAAAGTTATGAAATACACTCCTAAATAACAACAAAAATAAACCACCACTGGAGTTAGAAAATAATTTGAACTTAATGATATTAACAGTACAACATATCACCCGGCTGGTGTGGATCACTGGTTGAGCATTGACCCATGCACCAAGAGGTCAACAGTCAATGTACGTGTCCTGGTTTCAGGCTTGAACCTCTTTAGGGGTGTGCAGAAGGCAGCCGATGAATGTTTCTATCTCTTGCCCACTCTCCCTTCTTCTCTCACTAAATATCAATAAAATTATACTTTATTCCAAAACTTATGAAAACATGTGCACCCTTAAATGCACCTATTAGAAAAGGAGAAGATTAAAAAGATTTTGCATTAATAGTAATAACCTAAAATAGTACATGAAATCTAAAATAAGTAGAAGAAAGAAAATGTGCATCTAGAGATATCTGGGAAGGTATATTCTTAACATTAAAGCAGTTTTTTTACTGCTTGGGGTAGAATTATGAATAAATTTTCTTTTTATGTATTAAGTCAACTGCAAAAAACAAAGCTATTAATATTTTAGGAAATAAGTACTAGAGAAACACATGACATAATTTTAAAATAATAAGCTGCAGTGACAATTGCAGTGACAATACCAGAAGCTTCTCTTTCCTCTCCCAGCTTGGTCTCTTGTCAGTCTAATGAGAATAAAAACTCTTTCTAACTGTTTATCTCAAAGTGGCTGCTTTTCTACTTTGCACTTTTTTGCAATATTTTTATTGACTTCAGAGAGAGAAAGGGAAAGAAAGAGAGAGAGAGAGAGAAACATGTATCCGATCGGCTGCCTATTTCATGGCACTTCTTCATGTGACATTGCAGGAGTTTGGATAAAGGGAACCTATAGGCTTTGGGTCTCTGAAATGTATCTGACCATGTTCTAACACTTACAAGGTGTGTGCTTTACAACATGGAACAAAGCTTTGAGGGTCTTCACTGTGTCACTTGTAAAAGTTCCTATTTATGGCTTAGGACAGTCATTGCTGAAGGGCCTAGGCTAGGTCTGGGTTCAGCCTGCAAACAGACTGAGGTTGGACCTCTCAGTGCTCAGGTGAGCTCACAAGGGAAGTAGTGGACCTGGAATTCTGGTATTTAGACTCAATGGTGTACTCATAAAAAGTGGTCTCACAAGAAATGCTCACCTAATAAATGTCCGCCACACCTCTTGATTCATAAAAATTCCTGCTTGTAGTCCTTGATCTGTAAAAAAAGTTTTATATCCAGACGCTAAATTAAAAGACTATTCCAAATTTCACTGATAAAATCTTTCAATCCCAAAACTGTTACTGTAGATACATTGTTAAATTTCTAAGGGTGAAATAGATGTAATTCCAAAATTTACACTCTAATATCTGATTACTAGCTTATGTAGGGGAGAAACTTCACTCTGAACTGAAAGTTCTTTACTTGTTCACTAATCAAATACTTATGACACAGATTAGCAACAGAAAATAAACAAATTTTATACATGCATGTGTATGGGAACCTCTCATACATGAAACTCACAGACCCCATATGCAGGACAGATTCACAGATAGAAAGAAAATATGGGTATACAAGACATTCTGAGCTAGGCAGAATACAAGGTGCCTCAAGGCCTTCAAAGAATCCTTGCAAAATGTTATGAGCAGAAGCTTAGTACATAGGTGCTACTTCCTAAAATGTACACTAGACACAGAAGAGCACTTCATTCGTGGAATTGGCAGGACGAAGTAGGGGGCCCAAGGTTCTCTCTGAGTCTTGGTCCTTGATAAAGAGCTTAAAATCAACATTCCAAAAACCGTCAGCAGAGGGGCAGATTTTTGATCTGTGAACTGTGAATTATCCGTGATACCATTATTCTTAAGATTGGCAAATTTATTAACACATTTCTTTCCACAAATAGACGTGTTCACTAATTCTCCCAAATATCTGTAAAGCAAAACATAAATAAACCTATGTTCAGTAACCCTAATCCTCACCCAAACCCTCACCATATTACATAACACAATAAACTATAAAAAAATTCTGTGTGTGTGTGTATACATATAATTTTTTTTCCCACATCAAGCCCTCCCTCTGCTGGTCGTCTGTACACTGACACTCTTTCTGCCTCATCTTTTCATTTTGGTTTGTGCAGACTCCTCTGAGGCTCATGGCGACACCTCCTGGGTGTCTGCTGAGGTGAATCGAACACCTAAGCAAAATGCTGCCGCCTGAAACACCGAGAACTATCTGTGACTGGCTTCCTGACAAGGCTAAGCTGTCCTCGGCATTCACTGGCCGCCAACACCACAGGTTGAAGGCACAAGTGTTAGGTGGGTCAGAGAGGACACTCGGGGCTCCCTGCAAAGAGTATCTGACACCCTAGGACACTGAATCATGTGATGAACCACTGTAGGCATCTGAAAATTATTCCTTTTCTGTTCATGGCTCATAAATCACTCTTTAAAAACTGTTTTATAATGTCACTAAGAATCAATCAATCACCTTGGTCTTTCAGTTGCCAAGTTCACAATCTAAAGTTTCTGTCTTTGAAATTGTAATGTTTGCCATATTGTGAGTTTCTCACGTTATCTACAGAGGACACAGTTTCATTTACATAACGCTTCTGATTCCTAGAATACCAAACATCTGGACCTTGACTTCATTTCAAATTCTAAGAATTTTGTTATTATTTTATCTAATCATTAATATAGTTATGACTAAGGACAAAATTTTTTCTAGCAGCTCACATTACTTTTCTTCATGTTCTTTCCAAGCTTAGTCTATCTATATATTTTTCCCCTTTAATCATCACTGATTTTAGTGACAGAGAGGGGGGAGATAGAAACATCTATATGACTGGGAGACACCCATGGGTTGCTTCCCCAAAAGCACCCTGACCTGGGATCAAACCCACAACCTTCCTTTGTGCCAGTCGATGCTCCAACCAAACAAGCCATGTGACCAATGTCTTGGGTTTTTTTGTTTGTTTGTTTTTTGTGCAGCTGGGGCAAATGTTATTATTTTGACAGTACATTCATTAAACCCAGGGCCAGTGACACAAGCGTGGACTTAGCCTAGAAGAGTCAATGTAAGAAAACCTAGGAGGGCCGCTTTGACTCACGGACAAATAAGTCACAGTGACAGAAGGGAGCAGAGTAGGTGCTGACCTCACCTACTCTGAGCCCCAGCCGCTCATCCTGGCCACTGCCCCACACCTCACACCTGACCCATCTCTCACCTCAGGTCCTCCCACTGCTCACCTCACACCTCACACCTCACACCCAACCCCCCTTTTACCTCAGGTCCTGCCCATGGCTCACCTAACACCTCAGGACCTGGTCATGCCACTGCCAGGCCACTACTCACCTCATGTCTGCCAGCCGCCTGCCCCATAACCAGAACACACGTCTGGGCTCAAGGGGGCCACCTTCCTCTCCTCAGGTCCACACCTCTGCTCCCCTAAAGGTAACCTGCCTCTCACTGCAGTTCCCACTCTGCCACGCACATCATGGCTGGGCTTTCTGCTTCGGGTGCACAGCAAGGCCACTCATCTAACTTCCGGCCCCAGCTCCAGCCTCCAGTCCTGAACCTGCCCCTCTGCTCCCACCTGGCCCCACCTCTCCACTCAGGAAAGGGCAGCCACTGGACTTTTATCTGTGACCTGGCTGCTTGCCTCACGTCCCAACAACATTTATTATATAATGTGCATTTTCTCTAATGATCTGAGAAGACATCTTTATCAGACAAAATTCACTAATGGATTTGGGTCTATTACTACACCGTCTATTCTGTTCCATTACTTTGTCTGTTTGAAAGTAGTGGAGTCCTGAATCCTGTCCCAAGGAGGTAATCACAAAATGTTGTCCCACCAAACCCGAAGGACTCTCCCCAGGAAACCAGTCCTGAGGAAGCATTGACTTGAACATGACCTGGAGAAAGTGCTCCCTGAATTCCAGCTGGCTGAAGTGCACCCCATACCCCAGGCATCCCTCTGATTCTCAAACACCTTCTGGAACTCACCCCTTACCCCAGGGAACCCCTCTACCTCACACACAGTGCCTAGACCAGGATGTAAAAATCACACCCAGGTCACTCCTCGCCCTGTACCTCACGATACCCTCTGCCCATCACCTACTTGGTGGAGCCAGGAAGAAAAAATGGCTCCAGGTCACCCCTCACCTGTTCCCCAGCTGCTCATTAATGCTGGGCTGGAGTCAGGATTTACAATTCCCCTCAAAGTATCCACTGGCCCCTCATGTCCTCATGCCTTTTCCTCAGATCCACATACCCTCTTGCCCATCACATCCTGGCTAAAGCAGGAATGAAAAATTCAGCTCTGGGTTATTCTCCTTTGGCCAGGCAACCGCTTTAACCACACAAGCTAGCTACACTCGGGGTGCAGAACTCTGCTCAAGGTCTTTCCTGCCCAATTACCCCAAAAACCACTGTGCTCTTCACACCCTGGCTGAAGCAAGGAGGTCTCTCCTAGCCTGGTTACCTACACCCCCCTCAAAAGCTATGCAGAGAGGAAATGAATAATTCATCTCCAGGTCTCTCCGAACCCTTTATCCAAACAACCCCTCTGCCTCTCACACTCTGCACAAAGCTGGAATTCAGAATTCACCTCCAGTTCTCTCCTTGCCCCATAGCCAAACACCCACTCTATCCCTCAAGTACAGAACTCAAGGGAGAATGGAAATTCTGCCCCCACGTCTCCTACATTCTTCCCCAGACACCCCTTTTCTTCTCAATAGCTCGTTGGAGCCAGGATAGAAAGTCTGCCTCCAGCTCTTTCCTCATCCCTCACCCCAGGGCTCCCTGTGCAACTCACATGGTGGACAACAGATATGTGGATGCTAAGAAAAGAGGTACCTACTAGAAAGGGCTCCTGGTGGAATACTGGACTCAAATTCTTAAAAACTGGGACTGATATCCATTTCCACACAGGGCTTCTCATAAAAACCTCAATTCAGGGAGTGACCTGCTAACTTCTCCCAAAATGAACTGACCTTTAAAAACATCTAGACTGGAAAAAAAAAGAAATGTCAGGACCAGACCAGATCACATGGACTACAGCAGAGCAGAGCTGGGTTGTGTAGCCTGAAAGAGAATTTGCCCGGGGCAGCCTCACCCCAGGGCTCCTTAAAGCCAGGATGCTGCAGAATTAGGAAGAAGCAATACTGAGCTGTTTCCACAGTGGTTCAGCTTCATGGTTCCCCTGTAACAACACAGCTTCTCACAGACACACTGTATCACAGCCATGTTGTATCACAATGGAGCTACTTGCCTTCTTTACTGCACCCAAACTTGAGGATTCCAGTTGGTGTTCAATAAAAGATAATGACCATCAGTTAACAGACACCAGACACCACAGTCTGACTCAGGACCGCAGACACAGACCCCGGGCCACACAGAAGACCCAAAATAAAGCTAAACCTCAGACCCCAAGCCAGACTCTGGACCATGAATGCCACACACCAGGTGCCAGAGACTGACTGACACAGAACACCGTACATCAGACCCTGGTGATGTAGCTGCACATGGACCCCCTGGAATCCAGGAAACCAGCCACATCCGACCAGAATCCAGACAGCATACAAAGAGCCAAATACAATTCTACTGGAACCACGGACACTGGAGTCGGAACTCTCATGTGTCACTAGGAACAAAGATCCCAAAGTGGGTGCTGGACACCAGACATCTGTTAACAGATGCCAGACACAAGAGCTGAACCACAGGCTCCAGACCCTCAGACTATCCACAGGACTCCAGACAGGGACCCAAGACCCTAACCTCAAAACCACACCTAACCTCTAAAACCCTATTCCTATATCTGTGAAACCCTGAACCTCTAAACTTCAACCATGAAACTTTACTGTACAAAACATGAGATGAAATACAGCACAAGACAGCCTCGTGGGTATGGCTCAGTGGCCTGAGCATCCTCCATGGACTGAGAGGTCTGGGTTCAATTCCCGGTCAGAGCACATGTCCGGATTTCGGGCTCGATCCCGAAATAGTAGGGGGAATGCAGGAGGCAGCTGATCGATGTTTCTCTCTCACATCAATGTTTCTATCTCTCTAAAAAAATCAATGAAAACATATATTTAAAAATTTTTAATAATGTAGACTTTATAAAATTAAAAACTACTCTGTAAAAGAATAGTTCAGAGAATTAAAAAAAAAAAAGCCACAAACTGGAAAAAAAAATCATTGCAAAACACATATGTGATAAAAGATTTCTGCTCAAAATACACAAAGAACCTTAAAACAAACAACCCCACCAAACATTGGTAAAGATCTGAACAGACTCCAGACCAAGGAAAATATATGATGTGGATAAAAAAAAAAAGGGGGTTCTCTGGAAATTAACCACTTGATGATCTGTTAATAAATTCTGAATTAAACAGGACATGGTAGTTAGTCATACCAAATGCATAAAACTTCCTTAGTACACACTTATCTTTTTTTGTTATCCTTACCTGAGGACATTTTGCATTCATCTTCAGATAGAGCAGGAGAGAGGGAGGAAGAAAGAGAGAGAAACATCGATGTGAGAGAGACACACTGAGTGGATGCCACCCACATGACGCCAACTGGAGCCAGGGACAAACTGCAACCAACATACGTGCCTTTAGCAGGAACTAAACTCAGGACTCTCTGGTCCACGGGCCAACATTCCAACCACTGAGCCAAACCAGCCAGGGCATAAAGGCTTATCTTTGCCTTAACCAAGCTCTGTATATTGTTTCTGTGCAGCCACAAGAACATACCTTTGAAATGTCCCTAAAGTAAGAGAGCACCAATTACAACAACAATGACCTCTCTCCTCACCCCTTACCAAAACGTCCATCTGCCCCTCATGCAATGGACTGGAGTCAGAACAGAAATTTTGCTTGCAGGTCTCCAGCACCTCCTTTCCCAGCCATTCTCTCTGCCCCTCAAAAACTGGCTGGAGCTTAGATAAAAAATAAAAAAAAATCACCTTCAGCCCTAGCTGGGTAGCTCAGTTGCTTAGTGTTATCCTGATTTGCCAAGATTGCAGGTTTGATCCCCAGTCAGGACACACGCAGAAATCAACTAGTGAGTGCATTAATAAATGAAATAACAAATCCATGCTTCTCTCTCTCTCTCTCCCCCCACCCCCTCCTTCTCTGTCTCTAAAATCAATCAATAAGTCCAGCTGCTGTGGCTCCATGGTTGAGAACTGACCCATGCACCAAGAGGTCACTGGTTCAATTCCCAGTTAGGGTAAATGCCCAGGTTGTGAGCCTGATCCCCAGTGGGGGCATGCAGGAGGAAGCTAATTGATGTTCTCTCTCATCGATGTTTCTATCTCTTTCTCCCTCTCCCTTTCTCTCTCTCTCTAAAATCAATAAAGGAAAAATAAATGAATAAAATCAATATATAAAAACTTACCTCCAGGTCCCTCCTCTCTTACACCAGTACACTCTGTGCCCCTCACAAGCCAGATATCAAACGTGGATCCTGAGAAAGAAGACACTTACTAAGAAGGGATTTGGGTGGATAAAGGGGCTCATTTTTTTTAAGAGCCTGGCAGCCATTTCTACACAGAGGCTTCTCACGCAATCCATACTTCAAGGATAAACTGTCACTGATTTGCCTTCCTCCAGCATTAAATGGGTGGATGAAACAAACTAGGGCTCTAAAACTAGATTTTTAAATTTACATCCCCAAGCAGTAGGAATGTAAGTATAAACAGGACAGAAAATTTCTTTTTTTTGTATGTGCCCCTAGTGGGAACTAAACCCAGGACTCTGGTCTGCAGGCCAATGCTCCAACTGCTGAGCCAAACTGGCCAGGACAGGAAATTTCTTACATCGCTTACATTCTGCTGTACAAGAAAAAAAACAGCAAATAAGTATATAAATAAATAAAATCACTTTAGATAGTGATAAGTCTTGTGAATAAAACAGACTAATGTGACAGTAATGAGGAGGCAACTTTTAATAATGTAATCAGAGGGCCTGTTTGGGATGTATTAATATAAATTAAATCATACTTTATCAGATAACCTGCCTTCATTTAACAATGTTTAAAAGTTACCTTACAGTATATCTATAGGTATATATTGTTCCTTTAACAACTGCATCCATCCTGATGGAGATTTGTTTTTTCACTATTGAAATAAATGCTGTGAGGAACACTTTTACACACATATCTTTGTGTATATGTATAAATATTACTCTAGGATAAATTCCTAGAAGTGAAATTACAAGGTCAATTACAATTTAAAGTTTTGATAGATATTATCAAATTACCCTTAAAAAGCTTGTAAAAATGGAGCTTCTGTAAAAAGGATACACATTTTTAAAGCAACTGCCATTACGAGCATTTGAATAAAAATATTTTGTCTATTCTGTGAAATGATCAATTCTCAGTCTTTATCTTTTTTGATCAATTTGATATATTTAATAGAATTACCCCTTTTCTTGTGATACATTTTCTTTACCTATCTTCTAAGGCTGTGTGCTCCCCTAGTTTTTCTGAAAACACACTGGGCTCTCCTTTTCAATCTTCCCTCCTGGTTTTTCCCCATCTCCTTGAATTCTAAACATTGAAGTGTCCTAAAGATCAGTCCTTTGTCCTCCTCTCTGCCTACCACCCAATTCCCTTCTTATCTAATCTCGTGGATTTAAATATCATCTTTCATTTCTATGAAAATCACTTAGATATTTGGGTGCGTAAGAAGCATCTAAAAACTTTTTGTATTAAAATTTTTTAAATTATAGTTTCCATTTAATATTATTTTGTTTTAGTTTCAGGTCTACAGAATAGTGGTTAGACAATTATATACCTTACAAAGATCCCCCCCCTGATATTTCCAGTACCCATACATAGTTATTACAATATTATTGGCTATATTTCCTGTGCTGTACTTTACATCCCCATGACTATTTTGTAACTATCAATCCGTACTTCTCAATCCCTTCACCTTTTTCACCCAGTCCCCCAGCCTCTCTCCCCTCTGGTAATCATCAGTCTGTTTCCTATATCTATGAGTCTGTTTCTGTTTTGTTTGTTCGTTTATACTGTTCTTTAGATTACACATGTAAGTGAAATCGTATGGTATTTCTCTTTCTTTGAATGACTTATTTCACTCAGCAGAATACCCTTTAAGTCCATCCCTGCTGTCACAAATGGTTAAGATTTCGTTCTTTTGTATGGTTAATTTGTTATTCATAATTTTTATCTTTCTTTTTCTTTCTTCTTAAAAAAGACCCTTTAACATTTCCTGTACTACTGGTTTGGTGATGTTGAACTCCTATAGCTTTATTTTTCTGGGAAGCTCTTTATCTGTCCTTCAATTCTAAATGACAGCTTTGCTGGGTAAAGTAATCTTTGGTTATAGGTCCTTGCTTTTCCTCACTTTGAATATTTCTTTTTTTTATCCTCACCTGGGGACATTTTTCCATTTTTTATTCAGACAGAGCAGGAGGGAGAGAGAGGAAGAGAGAGAGAGAGAAATATCAACGTGAAAGGGACACATCGAGTGGCTGCCACCCGCACGACCCAACCAGGGCCAGGGACAAACTGCAACCGAGGTACATGCCCTTAGCGGGAACTGGACCTGGGTCTCTCTGGACCGCAGGCCATCGCTCTAACCACTGGGCAAAACCGGCCAGGGCAGAATATTTCTTGCCAATCCCTTCTGGCCTGTAAAGTTTCTTTTGAGAAATCAGCTGACAGTCTTAGGGGAGCTCCTTGTAGGTAACCAAGTGCTTTTCTCTTGCTGCTGTTACAATTTTCTCTTTGTCTTTAACCTTTGGCATTTTAAGTATGATGAGTCTTGATGTGAAACTCTTTGGGTATATCTTGTTTGGGACTCTCTGCACTTCCTGGATTTATATGTTTATTTCCTTCACCTGGTTAGCAAAGTTTGCTGTCATTATTTTTTCAAATAGGTTTTCAATTTCTTGCTCTCTCTTCTCCTTCTGGCACCTACATGAAGCAAATGTTGTTACACTTGAAGCTGTCTCAGGGGCTCCTTACACTAGCCTCATTATTTTGGATTCTATTTTCTTTCCGCTGTTCTGATTGGGTGTTTTCTGCTTCCTTATATTGCAAATCACTGACACGACTTTCTGCTTCGTCTACTGTACTGATGATTCCCTGTAACTTATTCTTAATTTTAGTTAATGTATCCTTAATTTCTGACTGGTTCTTTTTTATGGTTTCCATGTCCTTTCTTATGCTAATGAAGTTCCCGCTAAGTTCCTTGGGCATCATTATAACCATTATTTTAAACTCTGTATCCAGTAGTTTGCTGGCCTCCATTTCATTCAGTTCTTTTCCTGGAGTTTTGTTCTGTTCTTTCATTTGGGACCTGTTTCTTTGTCTCACTTTGGCTGCTGCTTTGTGTTTTTTCTTCTTCTATGTATTAGGCAGAGCCGCTATGTCTCCCAGACTTGGTAGAATGGCCTTATGAGGTAGGTGTCCTGTAGGACCCAGTGGCTCAGCCTCCCCAGTCACCCAAGCTGGATGCCCCAGGTGCACCCCCTGGGTGTGTTGTGTGCACTGTCCTGTTACAGTTGAGCCTTGATCACTGCTAGCATGTCACTGGGAAGGATTGACTCCCAGGCCAATCAACTACATGGATCGACTACAACTACAGAGGAGGAGCTGCTGTGCAGAGGTCAACTTATGGAGCAAGACTTGCTTCACTGGGGATTTGGTGCCTGCTGAGTCTACCCATGAGTGTGTAGCTCATAGAGATGGTACAGTATTAATCCAGCATGGTCTGCAGCTATCCACTGGGTGCACTGGCTCAGGCCTCCTGAGAGGTACAAGGTGAGCCACTGCCTGTGCCCTGCCTGGAGCCACCCAGCACCAGCTACAGAGCAATCTTCAGATGGCTGTTACCTGTGCTGGGCTTGGAAGTACCCAGGAGAGGCCAGGCTGCCAATCAAGGTCAGCTTCTACTAGCACTGGGTCTATACTGACATCTTGACTAGAACCTAAAAACTTTTAAAACTGAATTGAAATTAAAAACCTGTTTCTTGCACAGTGGTATCTTTTTTCAGTTCAGTAATAGCATCTCCATCTTTCCAGTTGCTCAAACAAAGCTTTTTCTCTCACCATAACTTTCTCTCTTCTTTCAGGGATCTGCTCAAATTAGATTCCCCAGAGAAGCAAGGTTCTCTTACCACATTTCTTTTCTTTTCATTGTTGAAATTATAACAGATATCCCCTTTTTCTCCCCATTGGCCCCCTCCTTCCCACCCTCACCCCCTCCTGCCTTCCCCAGCCTAATGTCCATGTCGATTGGTTGTGCATATATGTTTTACCACATTTCTAAAACTAAAATAGCACTTCCTAACCCACCACCCTATCTTCTTCGCTTGCCTATTTAAATTTTTTTTTCTTTATTGACTTTAAAGAAGAGAGGAAGAGAGAGGGGGATAGAAACATCAACAAGTGAGAACATCAATTGGCTGCCTCTTGCATGCCCCACACTGGGGATTTGGCCCACAACCTGGACATGTGCCCTGACCAGGAATTGAACTGGCAACCTCTTGGTGCGTGGGTCAACGGTCAACCACTGAGCCACACTAGCCAGGCTAGCTTGCCTATTTTTAAAAAATGGCATGTCTCAATATCTAAAATTGAAGTATATATTTCTTTAATTGATCACTGTCTCCCCAACCAAAATATTACCTGACAACAAAAATTTTGTTGTTTACTATGGTATCACCTAGAGCAGTGTCTTTTGTTGTTGGCACAATAGCCACTCAATAACTACTTGCTCAATGAATGAATGAATTGTACAGGTCACACAAAAAATATTACAGTTGAAAATCACACTATTGAGATGGCAAAGATAATAACAGAGTTGAAATATACAGGGCTGGGTTTATCCCAGGCATAGCTACGCAGCTTTTTTTAAAATATATTTTTCTTTACTGATTTTAGAGAGAGAGGAAGGGTGAGATAGAAACATCGATGTGAGAGAGAAACATCCATTGGCTATATCCTACATACATCCCACGGGAGACTAAGCTCATAATCCAGGCATGTGCCCTGACTGGGAATTGAACCAGGACCTCTCAGTCCATGGAAGAATGCTCAATCCCCTAAGCAACACCACCCAGGCAGCTATGCAGCTTTAAGCAAGTTATACTTCAAAGTCTATTTCTCTATCTTAAAATTGGAATTTGTGCTATCTCCCTCAGCAAAGGACAGCTGAAGTAGTCAATATCTATTTGGTATGAGAAGCCACAAAAATTTCACTATCTGCAATTTTCCAGAAAAATTTGCGTCAATTTTCTTCATAATTTCACTCATTCAGGTATAACATTATGTGAAGATATGTGTTCAGATGTCCTTATATGTTATTAAGTTGTACCTCTACTGTGCCCTGTACAAACTTTAAGAATGATAAAATAAGAGCAATTAAAAGAAAAAGTCACTGAGATCGAAAAAATGGTGGTGGAGTGAATGGATGCTACACAGATGATCTCCCAGGACCAAACTAAAATTACAACTAAAATAAAAACAAAATGTTGGGAAAAAGCAACAGAAAAGCAGCTTAAGAGAACCATATAGCCAGGGACATTGAATCAAGCCTGGTAGGTCTGCGGAGGTGCGATGGGAGCCTACAAACAGCAGCAGTCTTCGCTGTGAGCAGCGCCCTCAAGGTTAAAATCCCAAGCCAGCTCCACAGCACAGAGGGCCAGGACAGAGCACTAAATTAGCTATAGACACTCACCTTGGGCTCCGGCAAAGGGAGGGCAAACTAGACTGGAACTATGTGGGGACACTCGGGATTTGGAAGGCACTCAGGGTTTTTGCTGACTTGCGGCCATTCAGGACAGTGGATATCTTGCTCT